CTATCCTTCTTGGTTATCCGGTTGAGGCCCCTGAAGTCTACACAAAGGCGGAGTGAACCGTCCTTTTTGCAGACAAAGAGCACCGGTGCGGCGTGCACCGATGAAGACGGCCTAATAAAGCCAGTAGCTAGGTGCTCGTCAAGAAACGCTCGAAGGGCCTCAAGCTCGGTCGGGGATAGGGAATACAAGGTTCCCAACGGGGGGTGCGTACCTTCCTCTAGCTCGATCCTCAGGTCGAATTCATGATGTGGTGCCAGAGTGTTAGCCTTGCTTTTGCTAAACACATCGGCGTATTCGTGATAGGCCTTTGGTACGGCGTTGAGGTCGGCAGGCTCGGAGGTCGCGGTTGCGCACAGCTCGCTTGCTCGAGACGGGATGCTCAGGCTGAAAGTTACGGAGCCGTCGAGTTTTGTGGCCTGGGCGAACGCCGCTGGGCTAACAAACTTGATGGAAGGGGCCTGGCGGTCGGGGTTACACAGCGTGTTGGTGGCGGGGACCGGTGTGTCCGCTGGAGGGACTACACTCGGCGGGGTTACAGGAGAGCTCTGGGGGGTCGGCCTGGGTTGTTCAGATGTCCAGAAAGATATACTGCTCTTTGCCCAATCAATCAATGGATTGTAGCGGGCGAGCCAGTTGTGTCCCAGGACGATAGCACAAGAGCCATCCAATGGGGTGACATAGAATGTTGTCGGGGTAACATCGCCGGTAGCAAAGTGGACGGGGAGATCGACGGCGCGCGTTATCATGTGATTTGTCGTGCCATCGAACAGGCGGAGCTGCATTGCAGGTACGGAGTAGGTCTGTAAATTGTGTTTATTAACAAGTTTAGTATCAATAAAACAATCGGAAGAACCTGAATCAATTAGGGCGGGAAAGACAAAAGAGGGATCACAGTTGGTAAGAGAAAATGAGGGTGGTCCATTAGCAGAAAACATTTTTGAGCAGGGGACAGAGGCCCCGGAATTGGAAGACAAAGGAGAGCTGGGGGCATTCCCCCTTGAAGCGGGAAATTGACCATCACAGGAACCGAAAGAAACAGAGAAGGACAGAGAATTGGGGTCCGATAGGGCGGACACGTTCAAGCGTACCTCCCTCTTCGCACGAAGGGGTTGAGTACAACCCTCCGATCGTGCGGCATCCAGAGGGTTGCCGGTTCGTTTTTTGCGTCAGACGATGAGTCTGACTCCGGCTCTGGTGTCGTGGCCGGTTCTGGTGTGGCGACTTTGGCCACTCTGGCCTTAGCCGCACTTGACCCGGCCTTGGAGCACTCTTTAGCTACATGTCCCGGCTTACCGCAGAACATGCACAAGTTATTGTCGAAGCGTCGTTGACGCTCTTCCTTGGTCAGCCTGCCATCTTTCCCAAGTTTTGCAGTGAGGTCAGATTTAGGCTTACCATCGGGGTACTTGTCCTTTGGTTTATTGGTAGCGGATGTGGATGGTGTGGCGGGGGAAGGTGCGGTGGATCGGTGGGATTTGGCGGGGGGTGGTTTTGGGGAGCCTTTATCATAGGTGTCGGAGGCGGGTTTATGGCGCCGATCGGTCTGGGTCTTTCGTTCCCAGTAGCATGTATCGATTTCATCGGCGAGGTCGAGTAGGTTGTATAACGACGTGGGCTTACCAAACCGAGTGATTTCATCTTTGATACGATCGGGCAGACCGCAGTAGAACAGGGCACGGAGGGCTCCTTCACCCCAGTCGTCCAACTTACCTGTGTAGCGGTTGAACTCGGTGACGTACTTCCCGATGGTCTGTCCATCCTTCATTGTTAGGTTGAACAAACGCTCTTCAGCTTCGCCAACGGGGTCGCGCGGGCCGAAGTTATGTTCGAGTTCTCCCACAAACCTTGTCCAGTCGTTCATCCACTGTGGTTGTCGACCAGGCCGGTGGCCGCGAAGGATATCGGGCTCAAACCAGTCCAGTGCCACCCCCTTCAAGTATGAGACGGCGAATAGGACTTTGTCAGCCTCGGTCGGGAAGGCTCGGGCGCGGGTCATAAAGTCTACTTCACATTGGACGAAGAACGTACGGAGTTTGTTACGGTCAGAGCCATCGAATGGTTCGGGTTCACGGACCTTCTTACGGGCCAGTTCAGGTCGAGGCGGCGGTGGAGGAGCTGGGGGTGGTGCCGGCGGCGGGATCATCTGGTGGATGTCGTGAGTGGTTCGAGCAAGGTCGCTGATTGCCTTGGTGAGTATGAAGGCCATACGTCCCTTCGGCAGGGCTTGCTCTGCTTGGTCAATGTCGATCTCTTCGATCTCATCGACCGTAACCGGCGGATCTGCGGGTAGCTCCTCTCGTGGCGCTGGCTCGGGCTCTGGTTCGGGTTCTGGCACCGGCTCGATTGGTATCTGGGCCGTTGACTCAGCCTCATCCACAAGTGAATCGCTGTCAACTTCGCTCGGTGTTTGTTGCCAGCGGTATTGACAGCGTTTCACCGGCGTTGAGGACCGTAAGCCTGCCCGGTCTGCCGTGAAGCTCTCGAAAATCGGTTCGTCTGACTCTTCCCTATCAAATAAACGTGCGAGGTGTACTGCGTGTATGGTGATGTGGAAGTACCAGCCACTGGTTGGCAGGTCTGAGAATGGGTTCTGGGTTTGCGAGACATCGTTTAACGTCAAGAGCGAGGGGAGTTCGAAAATACTGTCAGGGCGTGGGAATACGTTACCGTGACTCGCTGTCGGCGACCATTAAGGTCCGCTGCTTCGGCGTAACAGCCCATCAAGGGCGGGGATGACAATCACGGCAGAAAGGGGTTTCGGCTTCAACGACTCGTTCAGGAGCGTTGCGCCTCGTACTTGACGTGGCCCCGATATTTCAGGAGGCAGGAGGTGCAACTGGGTCAGACAGAAAGTGCGGGGGGGTAACCCTAGTTGATTTTCGAACTAAAGTACGAGGTAGTGTACAACCGGTATTTAAGTATAACGGAATGAATGGAATTAAGTCGCCAGATCTCATGGAGATTGCGGGCGGGGTTAAGAAGAAATGAAAACAAACAAAGAGTGTGGGAGAAGGATGGCCATGTACGGCCGTCAAGAAAAACAAGCGTGATAAAGAAAGACTCATAGGCCCGTGACGGGCCGTGGAAACAGGTAGTGGTGATGGGGAAGGGTGACAGGCTTGTTCAGGCGGTGTCGGGTGGGTAGCGGGGTTGACGGGGTCGAAGCAGGGGAGGGAGAAGGTGTGGGGAGTGATCACCTGACCATGGGAATTGCCGGGTCGTGACAATGCCCTGACATCGTCTAGGACTAGGGTGGAGGAGGTGGAAGATCCAGGATATGACAGTACACCCCAGTGATAATATCAACTAGAGTTGATCCCCCGCTTCTAGAGTTTCCCTCTCAGTCCATAAATTAGGGCACTGACATGATACTGGGCACAGCAGTCTTGGCAGAAGTCACTGAGGCTGTAGCCCTCTGTTTATAGGGATGTCCTCGTTTGTCCTGAATCTGGTCTCTGACATTCACTGTCATATCCAGGTACTCTTATCCACTTCCAATCACCTCCATCCACCTCCATTCCCTCTGCACCAACCTCCCATTCCAATATAACACATACTGTACTCACACAACCAACAACCGGTTCCCACAGCCCCCGGAAATTGCCGGAGGCACCCAATCAATTCAGTTGTGTTGATTTTTAATTCAATCCAAGACCTTTGTGTGATGTGTGACCAGTTGTTGGTCGTGTTAGTACAGTACACTTCCCTAGTTTCAGACCCCCAGACAGTTCCAATGTCCACTAGTGCACTTCCTTTCCCATTAGGCCATTCAATTGCCTTCCCTTCAAGTTCACTTTCAGACCACTTTCCCCTTGTCCCCTTTGGGCAACTGCCTGCCTTACCCACAACCTGAGTCCTGGGTAACATATAGTTTATTAACCTTTGACAACCTTATGTCAGCAAACCCAGCCCCTTCCACCTTTGGGCCCCTTGCCTAGCCTTCCATTTGTATCTATATATACCAAGCCTGTAGATACATGGGACCTTAGTTCAAAATCAACTAGAAGACTTCCCCCTCCATCACTTGACTCTTCTGTCAGTTAAATTAAGGCAATCAGACATGGTAGCTGGGCACAGTGCTCCAGACTGAGTCACTGAGGCCATAGCCTTCCAAACCTGAGTCACACCTTCATTTCAGATCTGCATTTCTGACATTCACCATATATATATCTGTCACGGCCCCGCAAAGTCCCCGTCCCCCTACCACTTTCTGCACCCCCATTCTTACGCCGCTACTCGCACCCGTTAATCTCGCCATTGCCCATCACTTAGCGGCGCTGATAGTGGTTCCCATTCTATGGCCCCGTAGCAGCGCCTCCTTCGTTTTCCCACCACCACTTGGGTTCCTCAACCATTCGGCCGGTATTGTTTTATTCTATTCACTCGCTTAACTAACTAGCGGTTGTTATGGTCGCTGTTGATCCGCTCCTTATCAACATTCCTTATTGACAATTGATTATTCCTTTATTGATATTTGATTTATATGTATATTGACATTCTGATCCGCACTCCTAGATTGTTGGCCTATCCATTCTGCCTCCCAACTTCGCCGTTCTCTGTTCCATTCATTTCTTCTGTTCCATTACCCTGGTCCTCATCGCTCTTTAGTTCTGTCGTACTTATCATCTCGTTCCCGTCCCGCGCCGGACCGACCGGTCCCTTCTCTGTTCTCCTTTCCTATTTATACTTGTAGTTTACTGTCGATGTACCTGAGTTCGAATATCGACTAGAATTCCCCCCCTAAGTACTTTCATCTTAAGTTCGCCCCTCAACTTCATCCCCGCTTAAGTCAACGTTGCCGCAAGGTCTTTCCCGCTAACGTGAAATACGGGACAGCCTAGAACGCGTGGCGCAACGCTCTGGCAAAGTCGTTGAAGCCGAAGTCCCAACCCCCTCGACGCCTTGCAACGGAGTAGCTCATTAGCTAAGTGACCACTTACGCCGCCGTACTCCGCCCTGCTTCCCACGATCCCCTCGAACATAGTTTCTGACAATATCACATGTCAGCACTATGCAAAGTCACAAGGGTTGTGGGAATTCCAAGAGAGAGAGTGGTGACATTGGGGTTGGGGTTGGCCAGTGCTGCTCCATGTCCTGCCACCACACTTGCTGTAGTTCTTCACACCACTCCTCCACTCTTTGCACCCACTCCTCCCACTGCTGCACCCCCTGCTCCAGCTCTGTGTGTTGTTGCACCAGCTCTGGCTGCTGCTGCACCAGCTTTGGCTGTCTCTGCACCAGCTCTGGCTGCCTCTGCACCAGCTCCACCAGCTCCACCAGCTCCTGCTGCATCAGCTGCTGCTGCTCCAGATACTCCACCTCCAACAGCAGCCAATCATCCTGCTGCCACCACTGCCCCTGGTACCGCTGCTGGTGCCGCTGCCGCAGCCACTGCCAGTGCTGCTGCCACCCCAGCATGCGACGAAGCCAAGAAAGCCTTGAATAGGCATCACACACAACAAGCTCAATGTGGGCTAAGAGGCTCCTGGTTTTCTATCTAAAGGGTTAATGATATGAACCTGATGTAAACAGCATGATCATTTACCATGAAGAGAAGAGTTTCCCTTGATCCTTGAACAATATGATCCACTTTCCCAATCACCCTTAGCACTTTCATCCATTGCAGTAAAACTCCCTTTTCAACTCCACTCCCTTGGCCAGTGAACTTCTCCAGTGTATCCTTGACTTGTTCATCAACTGATTGCAGCTTGCACAGATGGGATGTCCAAAAGCAGCATGCATATTGCACTTCCTCCCTAACTACTGAAGTGGGCCTGACACTTAGATCCTTCATGTCCCCCTTGAGTGAATTCCCTGGTCCTAGCTCAGCAATGAGAAGATTCAGGCAACGGAGAGTCATCCACTGCTCATGCTTCTCCACATCAACCCTGAGCTGAGGATTCTTGCATCGCTGTAAAACAAATTCAGGAAAGGAAGGGTGATAGACTTCAACTCTGTCTTCTGGATGTGGTAGTGGCACAATGGATTGGATGTGTATGAGCTGTAACTTGGGATCAGTGATCTTGGTGAAAGCACCCAGCCCCTTCAGGGTCAATGGATCCTGGAGCAGGACAATGGTCTGTAGAAGATGATGGAGCTCTGCAAGCATGCCTGATGGAATTTTGGCAACACAAGTTGACAAAACGGCTTCATATAGCTTATCAAGCTCAGCATAGGGACCCTCATCAGCTTCCTGACTACCTTCCAGGATGGAGTCCAGTTGATGAACAGGATTCCAAACATCATCATCATTTATGAACTTGATGGCAGTGGCAGCCCAGATGAAAAGCCGGCCAGCTTTCCTCACAAGAGCTAAGATCATATCTGGAAATGGCCACCCATCTGGAACAACATCCCTAAATCGTTCACAAATAGACTGGAGTTCATGCTGAAGATATAACTTGATGTCATCTGAAGCAACAAGCTTATCAACTTCATGAATCACAATCTTGTCAACATTCATGGCTTGGTCGAAACTTGTAGTGATATGGCGTTCTGGTCGGCTTGTTATGAGTATACGGAGACCAGGGATGCCAGAACAGCCAAGGATGTGGCGGAGCAACTCTTTTGCTCCATCCACTTCATCTCGCTCACACTCATCTAGGGCATCAATTATCAAGAGGAGGGGTGAAGAGAGTTTGAGGTCTTTCAGGGGGGTGAAGAGGAGGGAGGAATATTGGGTGGCAAGGGAGGCATGAGAAAGCTTATCATCCTTCTTCAATGCCTCTGCGACAGCGGCACCGAATTTCGGAAGTTTCTTGGCAAAGTCCCGCACAATCGTCCCAAGGAAGAGCTTCGCATTAGACAACTCGGCATGTTGACGGACAAAAAAGAAGGTTGATCCAAGGAGGTCAGACCCTTTGGCATACTCCGCAATGGTACGTGCAATAGTCGACTTGCCGATCCCAGCTAGACCATTCAACCAGAACACTGGCTTCGTTGTATCACTGATAGGTCGGTGCAACCATTGCTTAACCTCCTCAATAATTGCCTTTCGCGTTCCGGGAAAACAGTTAGACGGAGCACCAGGCCGGTTGGTGTCATAGCCGGCATTGAGAGTATGCGGAAGCGTGTTGAGAAGGGAATCTAACTGCTTCGCTTCTTCAGCCGAGGCTTCGTTGCGTTTGTGCGCCTGGAAATAGTCAGCACCTATGATGCGTACACGGTCGAAAAACTACCTTAATCTCCTCGATCCCTTCGCGAAGTTGCTAGGGTATTAGTCAGCTTGGAGCTCTGAGAAAGCCAGTGAAAGCTGTACCGTACTTCAATCTGTAAGTAATGTCGGACCCCTTGTGCAACCTATGTCCATAGATTAGCGCTTCCGGTGTGATACATAAATGTAGCGGAAGGATATCCACATTAAAGGCCGCTACAGCATTGTGTATCCTTCCCCCAGCCTTCCCCACCTCGGCTGCAATTTGTTGATGATTCGCCCATCGGTAGACACCGCTCTTGTCCCTGTACGATTCCAAAGGCGAAGTAGCCGTTACGAATTCACTAAAAGGGACAGTCAGACTACTCTGACTCTCAGGATATCTGAACATACCCCGATAAAGCGTCGATGGCTTCGCTTAGCTCGGAAGGAACAGAGGGTTTCCCTTCGTATGTTTCAAGCGGCTTCGATACTGACTGATTAAAGAATTTGACAGTGTCCTCAAGCTGACGAATCGCATCCACATTTGCGTTGACTGTCTGTGAGGGCAATTATTAGCGTTACGTCCCGCCACAGCAGTTACAGAACCTACGTCCAACTGGCGAACTATTTCAAGGAAGCCTCCGATCGCGCTTTTGAGCCCAGGAACAGGGACACTATCTAGACTCGCTTGGGTAATACGCAGCACGTCCAGAACACCGTTCCAAACGGTGCTAAAACCCGTATCACCTGAGGGTGCGGCTGCAGCTGCAGCTGCCACTGAAGGTGTGACTACGGCTGCGGCTACAACCGCAGGTGCCGGTGTCATTATTGACACAGCAGAGGCCGGCCGTGGTGCCGGCGTGGGCACGGGTTCAGCAGAGGAAGCACCTAAAACCGGCACCGATGCAGTTCCCTTCTTCAAGGGTCTCTCTTTTAATTTGTTGAGGATTTTTTTCATGTTGGACAGCCTATAAGGATGATTGACAATGACAAGAAAGTCAACACGTTGCAACCGTGCACCGGCACAGCCCTGGAGCCTTAAACAGGAAGTCCTTCGCATCAACGCAAGCGCCTGGATGGCGTCCATCCCGACGGTCGACATGAGCCAATACAATCTCGTACTCTGTAACTTGGGCTCAGGGACGGACTGGGGTCTTGAATGGCACCTGCGATATGACCGGACGGCATGTGCACAGACTCCTGCCATGCACGGATCGTCTCCCGATCTTCCTCTCACATATCCATGCCAGCTTCTCACAATACCCCAGTGCGACGACGAAGAAGCACATAGAAGTTGCGGAATGATGACTAGCTGGGGGATCCATCGGGCGGTTGCGCCGTCTGCTTCAGAGGGAATATTACTCATCAATGCTATCTTTCTCTGGTCTCCGAAGTCCGCGTCTGCATGCTCAGGCCAACACCAGACACGTCATATTTGCGGTCGACGTTTCATGATATTCGAACCAATCCTGGCCGCTATTACTTAACCTGGTTCCAGTCCGCTCGCAGGCGCGCTAATTGCACCGTCTGAACAACGTTCACCATGTCCACTCCACTTAACGGTATGGCCGAGAGAGCGGGGCGCCCCACGATCACCTGATACACTTTAACGTTCCTGTCATGGATTGATGGAACATCATCATAGGACCGAGCAGCGGCGCCGCTCTGCCACTTGTCCCACTACATCACGATTTGGGCCTGACATCATCCCATCGTCTTGGATCTTATGCGCTATCCCTGGTCCTCTGACGTCGCGTGCAAGCGTATTGCCTGTTCGTCCACATACGTACCATTAATGTCTCCCCCACATCCGCGCACACAAATCATTCTCACCGTACTCACACCCGGGCTCCCTCTGAATACAACGCCCCTATCATTCAACTTAAGTGAGTGTGCATGACTTCTGCGTATCTCATCGTGATAGACAAAGCAACTAATCGTTGAAGTATCCAAAGTTGATTGCACTGAGCATCCTAATTCAAATAAACCAGGAACAGTTACCCATCTAATGCATTGCTAATAAAGCAACAGGAGTGGGTATACACTTGGCTTGCCAAGGAAAAAACAATCCACATACCAGTGAACAACTCGAATAGATAAACAAATACGGAGGGGTCTGAATAGATGGCAAAGGGAGAGAAGGGTAACTAGGTCGGAAGCATAGAAGAGACGGCATCAAGTGCTACGGGAAGGAAACCGCTTTAGAAAAGTCATGATGGACGCACGAACCTATGGGATGGATAGAGGAAAGATACAACAGAGTCGAATTGTAAGACGGACTTGAACATAAAGGATCACTTTGAAACCTCGGATGTAAAATACCAAAGTCTCTGACGAGTGGAAAGGAAACGCGAGGGAACAATGATAAGGGTATAGCTCAATATCGGGTATTCCCTCCGCGGTCTGTTGTGGAGGAACATTAATGATACAGTGCAGATGTTGCGCTGTGGACACGCAACCGGAGAACGAAGGGCGAGCTCATCCGCTAATAGTACGGTTGTAGGAAATTTTGAGCTTAATGATACAATGCCGTTCGTGCTTGTCGTAATGTTCATGCTCTTGCTTCGTGGGTGCGGTGTCGTGATGAAATGGGTATATATGAAGGACTCCGGCGCGAGAGATCGCATAAAGTCCATCACGGAAGGAAAAAATGGATAAGGCGAACAGTCAAAGATGTATCCCATCGAAAATCGATAGATACAGTAGTCAACATCCTTGAAGACAGCTCGAAGAGTATGCAGCTTTACGAGATCTCCCTTCTAGAAATGAAGGGAGACATTGAAACTAGGTGTCAACTTGGGCGACCGCAGCCCCGCCGGATTCGAGCCAGGTATCGTCGGAGATGCGGTAGAAGTTAATAACGATGACGCAGAAGAAGAACCGCCCTGCTTTAGATTGGAAAGTCGATTCTTCGCGTGGAAAACACCCAAAAGAACTCGCACGGAAAACAAATAGTGATTACGAAGTAGGGAGAGGCGAAGTAGAATATCAGGTAAAATGGAAGAAACGATAACTCACGCCTGCTGTGCCTGCTGTTCAACACCACTCCCAAACCCATCGAATTCCCCTCCTCATCGAGATCAAGGACCCAAGAGGAAAGAAGTTCTGCCGGGCGAGACGGATCATTGTCGTCCGGCTATTACCTTGAGCCCTGGCAGTAGTAGTTGATGGATGAGATGAATAGTGGTGCCCCAGTATAGTCTCCTCTTCTTCGTCATGGAAAGTAGTAGTGAAAGGAGAGGCAGGATCAAGGAGCAAGTAAGTGGGCAATGAAATTCCAGGCGAAGCCGTCCCCCCATACATCCACGCGCCGGGGCCGTTCAAGAAGCAGACATGAAATATGAAGATGCTGGGGAAGATGTGGATGTGGATGGTGTGTAGCGCGAATATATAGGAGGCGAGAAGAAGAGAAGGAGAATACAGAGATGATCGTTCCGAGTCGATCGATGCCCTCAATGAAATGCACAAGACCCAAAGACCCATCCACTCTCTCTCACTTCTCGTCCACGTACGTCCACGTCACTCTGTCTTGATGCTGGTTGTATAGGGATAGGAATGGATGGACTCGTCGAACGTGGAAATGGATGATTTACAGGGAGAAGTAAGATAGATGGTGTATGTATACATGGTTGCAGTCTTTGCCGTGTAGCCGGGAGAGGCCAGAATTAAGCCTGAGTGAGGGAGCGCCGCGGTGAGATTGTGGATATAAATAATTTACCGTCACGAAAGGACGAGTGCTTTCGCTGATGCGACTCCTCCCGCTACTACCTTGTTACTTGTTTAGGGCGAGGGAACGCGACGAGTGAGCTCAAGTAGTCGATGACGCGTGCGTGATGAACGAGCGTTATCGTGTCGCGAGTGCGGTGATTCATCGAAGCGCCACTCTTCCTAGGATAGTGATATGTAGACCAAGAAGAGTCGGTTTCATGGTTTCATGGTGTGTGTGTATATTCATCCTGCAGACTACAGGCTGCTCGTGAGAGCGCCAAGGGCAGGGGTTCTCGAAATGGTTCAATGGCAGACCAGTATGAGGTATGTTACATAAACGCTTGTACATAAAATCACGAGCCTTTCTCGCTATTCAGTCCATTCAGTCCGTGCTGAGAAAGGACGAAAAAACGAAATTACACGCAATCTATAATATCTTTTTCATCATCGTCTCCGGTCTACAGCCTGATATCCAACCTCAACGCCATCCGATACAGTTTCTGTTGTATCTGCTGAAGATCGTCTGTATCCACCTCTCCTACCCTGGACGGATCATTCCTTATGTTTTTTATCACCAATAATAGACTTCGATGCCTCGACAGCTGGATTCTCCACTCGTGCAATCCATGTAGGCTCCGAACCTAGTGGCGAGACTGGTGCTGTCATCCCTGCCATCTCTCTTCACAGAGGGAATTAGAGCAGCGTAAAAAACTACTTTAAAGATGGTAAAATACCCTTATCTTTACTACGAGTTGAGTAGTATTTTATCATCAAGTGTGAAGTGTTTTACCAAGATTCCATTACCACAATAGCGTGAGTAAAAGATGCATCTTTTTGTTGTTTTTTAATTGTTTTATGATGGTAAACTGACCGTTTACCATCGTCCTGTTTGGTATTTTACTTCATGGGGTAGGTAATTTACGACACTCATGGTTGGTAAAAAACACGAGAATTCAGGGTTATTTATACTTATAACGGTGGTAGTTTACAATGACAATAGCCTTCACTTTATTAGGCTGTACTTATGCGAAATAGCGGTATGATCGGAGCGGTGGCAAGCCAGAGATGAGGAATTGGAAAAGCGCGCAAGAGATGAGGCCAGAAACAGACACGGATCAGACCAGTGAGCAAGTGCCTGACGAAGAAATAACACAACAGAATGCAGCAAAGTGTTTCGAGCTTGGGCAGCACAACCTAGGCAAGGTGCGGGGTGAGTTTGATTTGAGAGTAAAATTGCATAGAGCACAAACTGATAAGTGAAGGGATTTCATCCCTTGCGCGTAGGTCGGGGCCTTGCCATCTGGGATGGGCCAGGCTCATTAGTGAGTTGGGTTCGGGCTTTCTTGGTTTGAGGGGCCACCATGGAAACAGCTGCGGGAGTCCGTTTTTTGCGATGGACGAAGCTGGGTTTGAATTACCGACTGGTTGGATACTATCATTGTCGCTATCAAATTCCAGTTGCCTTTGAGCATTTTGATCGCCTCCTGGAATAGAAATGAGGGAAAGAGGAGGGAAGATTAAATCAAAAATGATATGCATACGTTTTAACACCCCCACGCTTTGCGGATCCGCGTGCCGCTTTCCCACCACGGATCGGTGTGTCGGGTTTGTCCTATCTTGCTCTCAGCTTCGAGTCTGTTGTCTGGCTCTGACGATTCATTCATCTCCTCTGCAGTAGATAATGAGCGCATACCCAGATGACATGCCCCCAAAAAGTACTTACTAAGCATACGAATATGATTTCCTCGCGCATTTCTCACGACACTTTGGATCAAAAAGGGAAAGGATTGGGGAGATGGGAGTTACCTTGCTTATTGTTGGCGTCATGATGATTCCCTGGATAAAATAAAAGCAAAATTGTTGTTAGCAAGGCACATCTCAGCAAATCACACGTAAAGACGCGTGGAAACACGTCCAAATACGAAGCCTTCATGAGGATTGGCATGAGTACAGCCGGCGGCATGTACGGGTGTTCAGGTAGAACTATAAGCACTTACTAAGTGCTACCTCAAGAAATATTTACTGTAGAATGGTAGGTGGAGGCTTGGAGATAGGTGTAGGGGATTTGAGAGTCGATATGAGAGTCCAGATGAGGGAGATGGGGACGAAGTGAGGACCGGAAACTGCCGAGAAGCTGTTTGATCGATCTAAGTCCTAAGCGCCAAGTGTATGCCCCGGAACAGCAATTTGTCCCTGCTGTAATGCAGTTGGCCTCAGAACGTACAATTAGACGGCATATCCAGTTTTCCGGCCCGGACATACTTGATGCACTTGAGCCAACACCCAAGCACGACTCCGACAATTCCGACCACAGTTTCAGTGAATAGTGGCGCTTATTCGGACGTGGAATTATCGCCCACTTCTTTCACTACGCTCTCTGACACCACCCGAGTCATTGCACTTGCGTCCGTATCGTCAGTCTGTGGCCGGTTCTGTTATGGGACAAATTCTGGCCGTCGTTGGGCTATCATTGACCGCAGCGGCAAGCTTGCGAGGTCAATTTTTAGTGTGGATGATGATGGCTAGCTGAACGTCAACTCTCCGCATCGAATGTGCATCCCAACTCATGTAAAATTCGTTGCACTCAAGAGACTATCGATTGAGTTGTATTTTACAACGTTCCAACTGTGGTATTTAACTTCACTGCGCATTCTTTACCTCCTTCAAAATACCACCAAAACGTCCGTAAATGGTTAAAAACTACAAGTATTGTGATTTTTTACGACAGTTTACTTCCCACAGTGATATCTTAGCACCACATACAAACAAGATGCCATAGGCGTTCACAAGGTATGTCCTGTTCTTAATTCTTTTCATCTTTACTCTTCACTCATCGGACTTCTTACCGATCCTTCGGAAACATAACCCCCTTGTCTTCCCATATTTGGTCATCGGGGCATCTAGGGATTCGAATACACTCGCTCCGACAACCCAAATCGCCGTAGTTTCGAAGCTCAACTAGCTTCGATCGAAGCAGGCGGTCATACTGCCATAGCAGTGGCTTCTGGGTCCAGTGCCACTGCGCTGCTTGTGACAGCTGCAGGTCCCAACTCCCACATTCTATCCGTCAACGATGTCTATGGCGGTACTGCCCGGTATTTCACCCGGGTCGCAAATGTCATTCAAAACCTCGCTACCACTTTCATCGACCTCGAATCAGCTCGTGATGACGAAGTATATGACGCCATTCAAGATAATACAAAGTTAATTTGGGTTGAAAGCCCAACTAATCCCACGCTTCGCATTATTGACATACCCCGAATCGTTCGCATTGCTAATTCTCATCCTTCTCGTCCACTCGTCATAGTAGATAATACCTTCCTCTCTCCTTTCTACTCTTCCCCTTTCCTTCTCGGCGCAGACGTCGTCTTACACTCGGTCACGAAATACGTCAATGGTCATTCAGATGTCCTCATGGGAGCAGTCGTTCTCCCTCTTCCACACACATCTACCAAATACCCTAATCCTAAACCGCTCGCAGCCACATTGGAATCTAAACTTCGCTTCCTTCAAAATGCTATCGGAGCTGTGCCAAGCGCCTACGACAGTTGGCTCGCACAACGTGGAGTTAAAACACTTGCCCTTCGAATGAAAGCCCACGGTGAGAACGCCTTAGCCGTTGCGCGTTGGCTTTCAACCCGAGGAAAGGAATTAGGACTTGTAGACTGGGTCATCTATCCGGGATTAAAATCTACAGCATCCCGGCGAGTCGAAGATAACGAACGAGTGTACAAACTCGTCCGTGACACGCTTCTCTCACCTCACGCGCGTAAATGGATCGAAGGCGGAACGTGGTCGGGTCGTGATGATGGGCTGGAAGGGATTCCATTCAGTGGAATGGTCTCATTCAAGATCGCCTCCGCTCCTTCATCTATCCTTTCTCCCGCCGAAGTTTCTGAACCTACCTCGACTGCTTCCCGCTTCCTCACGTCCACTCGCCTCTTCTCGCTGGCCGAGTCATTGGGCGGAGTCGAATCGCTTGCTGAACTCCCAGCTTTGATGACTCATGCGGGTATACCCGTTGAGACGAGGGAGAAATTGGGCATTAGTTCAGGGCTCATCAGATTGAGCATAGGCGTTGAAGATAAGGAGGACTTGTTGGTTGATTTGGAGAGGGCTTTGAGGTGGGCCGTGAAAGGGGAGGTGTGGGATGTTAAGAGGGATGTTGAATTGGGATTGGGTGTAGCCGAGGGAGTGACCAAGGTTTTGGCTGTTGACTCTGAGGACTCGTCTAGAATCGAGGTGCACGATATTGTGCCTGTTCAAGTTCACGCTTGATGCGAGCATGGTTTGTGGCCACATGAAGATGAAAACGCTGTAGCTTTTGCTTCTTGGCGACTTGTGGCTTGGTTTCTTTTGTAATTTGTCGGTCGTCATATATAGAGCGAGCTTCTTTACACACCAGGCAGCTCGACTTGTGCTTCTTGATTTGTGCAAGTACCCAATATCTTACAGGGAAATATATAAGCGAACGTTGTTGTAAACGCGGCGTTCCAAATATGGCAACCCGCTTCAGCGGTTCACTCAGCACCTTGGACAACTGATATCCAGGCATATAGAGAGGGGTTCTCAGGATGTTCAAAGAGGGTCCAGAGGCCTCTTTTGTATGGGAACATCCCAGGACGCAAGGGGGTGTCGGCATTTCCCGGTTGAAAGGTATGCCGGGGGGCCCGGACATGTAACTTCATGTACTTACATGCAAGGTCTAAAACAACATTGGGGTGACCAAATTCAAGTAGGTAGGCTATTGGGGTCATGTTTGCGGGTCTGGCCAATGGGGCAATGCTTGTTATGTCAAAACCCTGAACCAACTGATGCTTGCGGAGTGTCCCCTCCCTATTATCCCCCAACCCAACCCATTTAATGAGCCCAGAGTTATTCCCACCTAGTTGATACCTCGTCCCATTCTATCGAATGCGACTGATTATAATTTAACATCTCCCTAGTTATCAGCAGCGGAACTAAGCATGATATTGATGTGTGGTAGAAATAATACATGGGTTGAAGCCCAATGTATCATTGACAGCAAAGGGAGCCAATGACACTGTGCCACCTCAAAAGTTTGTTTTGGTTCAAAAACAGGACCAATTTGGAGTTTGGAGCTGGATTAGGCTGGGTTGGGGAATAGTGGGGAGGGAAGCTTGGCAATGAATGATGAAAAATGTGACCATACTATTTCATGGCACAAGTCATGATTGTGCAGGGAAATGGGTAATGTTGCCAAATATGGGCAAGGCAACTGCTGAAGCCTGTGGCATTCTCCGATTGAATTGGGGGGGGGGTTTCCCAAGATTGGGAAAAACATGTAACTGGCATACCTTTCGTGTCTGCATTACTGACACTGTCAGGGCAATAGCCCCGAACCCCAAGCCATATGTAATTAAGATACATATAGTCATGTGGGTAAGCGGTAACCTCTGGGTAACTGCTTACACACCACCATAAAATACACACCATTGTATCACTTACAGCTCTGTGTGCTGAGCTACCCACTGAGACCTCACACTTTTTTAAGTGTATGAGGTGTGTTTTACAACACAACCCACAAAATTTAACATCTTAACAATTTGACTCAGTAGCGCCAATGGCACCTAAACACACCCACAAGGGCAAGGTCGCATCTGCAGCGACGTTAAAAAGAAACGAGCGGTTCATTAAGAAACCGCAATCTCCCATCATGGGAGATTCAAATCAACAGCCATCGTCAGACAATGATGAGGATCAACACGATCCAGTAAAAGCAACCACCTCAGGGCTGTCCCCTGAAGGTTTTAGAAACTTACATGGAGTAAGTGTGGGGCCCAATACCCCACTCCACGTCACATCGATCTAACCCAAGCTGGGGAAGATCCCTCACCTCCTCAGGAGGTGATCAACTTGTGTGATAAACATGTAAGCACTGAATGATCAGCCCAAAAAGCTGATCAGATAGAGTCGCAGGAAACTCCAGGGCCCCACTATCCCCTGGAGTCCTCCCCCAGGTCCCCAAGTCAAGCCCCAAAGGCAGACAAAGGGAAACAAAGGGAAGAGCCTCTGCGTCGGCTATCTGAAAAACTACTGGACTTGTTCCAGGTTCCATCCGAATGGAGGATGGAAAATGAAGACCAACTTCTTCTCAGGCTTCCAGCCTGAGAAGGTGTGAAAAAATGCCCTGAGAGCAGGATCTCCCAGAGCACGGAAGCTCCAAAAGAACTTCCGCTGTTCACACTACCCCATGCCATGCCAGACAAGGCAAGGTCACCAACCTCAGAGGAGGTCTCCAAGATAATGAAGAGGAGGCAAACTGAAATGAGGGAGTTCGCTGAGGGAAAAGTAAGGAAAAACCAGCAAACAGACCCCTCTATGAAAGGGAAGCACACTCCACAATGGCCTTGCCTAAACAAAGCGAGCATGGAGTTTTCACTCCAAGAACCCCTTCTGGAACCCCCAGAAGCGGCAATGTCAACTGGGGAGACTGCTTGCCCAACCAAACTTCCTCCTGGAAAACCAGGAATCGTGCATAATAAACACGATAAACTCGATCCAAAAAAAGATCGAGGAAATGAACCACAATAGCACAGCTTGTCTAGAGATAACTCTAGAAAGAATGGCCAATGCAATCGATGCATTGACTGAAAAAATCAGCAAGCAGACAGACTTGCTGAAGGAGATAAACTTCTCACAAAATAGTGAGGAAACAAAAAAATTACCCCTGGGCCATGGGCCAGGACAAAAACAGAACTCGTGAAAAATTCATGAAAAGAACCACCAGTGAAAGCACACTGGAGTATCATCAGCAACTCAACAGAGATGCTAAGGAGATCCTTCTTTCAAGGATAGGAAGACAATGCCGAAAGAAGGCACTGTTCAGAAATTAGGAGGAGAATCGGCATGTACCAAAGGTTCGGCCAAACATCCACCTTTGACAAACCTCTCAAACAGAGAGGTAACACAACCACACTCTCTCAAAACAATGAGAGAATCCAAATACAACTTCAGGCAAATTTGCCTGAAACCAAAGAAATGCTGCGAGGAAGATTCCCCCCAAAGGAGAGATCTCCATTGGATAGCGGCCCTGTGAAGGCAGGGGAGCAAGAGGAGTACCTGGAGAAATGGTACGAAAAGGCCATAAGAATGGCCGAAGTGAGAATACTCACTCCCTACCCAGAGGGAGTGAAGCCTGAAGCCCTAAAAAATGGGCTGGCTTTACCTGACAAGAAATGGTCAGGGGAGAACGACATGGAATCATTCTGGCAGTGGTTCACAGAACTACTGGGATTCCTTGCCTTGCGAGGATGCAAAGGTCCCCAATTCAACAAAGTCCATCTGGACTGCTTGATTCGCAGATTAGGGGGACCCGTGTTCGACCTCGGAATAAGACTCCGAGACGAAACTCTCCTCAGAGGAGATGAGGGCATGTTCCTCAAAGTTCTCAACATATTGATGAGAACATTCATTAAAGCCTCTGCCACATTGAACATGACAAAGAAGTACTGCAACGTTAAATATGAAGCAGAAAAAGGCCTAAAACAGTTCTACTTAGAACTGTCTAAAGCAGCATCCCAGATGGTGACATGGCCAGACCAGGCATCCTTCAATGCTGGGTTCCTAAACTACATTCCCCTCGAATGGAAGAGGGAAATGATCGCTCATGACAGAATCAGAGTGGACTTCTCCTCATTTGAGGAGATGTTAAAAGCAATATCTCGTGTAGACGAGATAATTGACAGGCTGAAGATGTCTTCAGCCTACAAATCGGGATATTATACCCGAACAACCACCATGGCAACCATGAGCTGCAGTAGAGCTCTCCCATCAGGAAAGAAGGCTGAAGAGCTGAAATCCAGATGGAAAGAGGATACATCCTCAAAAAACTCGAGGAAAACTGACCAAAAGTCAGTTCCAATTTGCGGCAAATGCGGGAAAATAGGGCAAATGAAAGATTGCCCAAGACACAATGCAATGAGCGACGAAAAACCAAGGTGCATAGCTGCCATGGAGATCGTGAATGCATCAGAAGAAGAGTTGGAAGACTCATCAGACGAAAAACCAGAGAACAACTCTGGTAACTCTGGAGCATCAAGCTTTGAAGTAGAGGACCCATACGAAGGACCTCAATACTCACCTGACTCAGAGGGTGAGGAAGTCAACGTCGGGACCATAAGAATGGGCCCAATGTCAGTCGTTGATCATGATGACATAAATTATAAAATCAAACTGGCTGTAGTGCACCAGTTAGAAAACATGGCAGATGAGAAAGTCGCTGAAGCATTGGTGGAAGCACCAAGAAAAGATGCCTTGGGGAAATACACCAAAGTACCCAAGGAAAACAAGGAGAAAGGGAAGAAGGACTAAAAGTCGATCAAAACCCAGACCCCCTTGTTTGATGCGAAATTCCGCATCTCAAAAGATGTGGGAAAATACCCTGCAAACAGACCGCTCTCAACTCAACAAAGAGAATGCTGATGGCTCACATAAAAATAGCAGGCATAAAAGCCTATGCACTATTTGACAGTGGAGCTGAAATGGATGCTATATCGCTGGACTTCGTCTGCATGGTCCACATCCCAATTCTCCAATTGGAGAACCCAGTCATCCTTCAAATGGGGATGAAAGGAACAAGATCACAGATCCTGTTTGGAACAAACATGGACGTTGAGATCAACAGCCACGTAGGAAAACACTACTTCGATGTGATTAACATCAATAGATATGACACCATATTTGGCACCCCCTGGTTAAACAGGGGCCAGGTAAGCTTAGACTTCCAGTCCCACAAAGTGAGAACGGTGAACAAGGGCAACATAGACACCCTTGGAGTCAGTGAAGACCATGTGATGAGATCACACAGATGGAAAACTCGAGCAAAGCTCGAGAACAACCAAAAAAGAAGCCCCCCTGACAGGGAGGTGGGATTGAAACACACCTCAGGGTAATCGAAAGAAAGTACCCTGAAGGTTGGCCCAATCCTAGTCTGGAAGGACTAGAACTTCCAGACGTACCACATCTGGAAGGCCTCTCCATGAACAACCCCGAGTTTGAAATACTCAGGGAGTGGTGGAGAGAGAAATTCGAAACTGTAATGGCACCAGTGCCATTAGAAATGCCTCCCTTGAGGGAGGTGAACCATTGAATCCCATTAAAGGATCTGAACAAGAAATTTTGGGAAAACACCCCAAGATGTCCTGCAGCACTGCAGGAAGCACTAGTGACCAAAATAGATCACTATGTAAAAGCAGGATGGTGGTATCCTGCGAACAGCGAGTGAGCATGCCCGCTACTGTGTATCCACAAAGCAG